CCAATGAGTTCTACATGGAGACCTACAGCTTTCTAATCTTTTAGGGATTTAACTTGTTTTGACTCAGCCCGGGGTTCACATCTAATTCCTAATGCTGGATTCTGACTGGGCCAGAGCTGTGCATCCAAGAAGCATCACTTTGTTGTATGTATAAAATGTTAGACCTTTTTTTTTCCCATCCTCCTTTATTGTCCCAGGAGTGGAAAGGCAGCACAAAGTGCAGAAGTTAATATCTCCAAAGGCTCTGTCACTGTTTTAGTGAAATAGCCTTCATTTCTGTGCCAGAAAGTTAGCAGCTAAAATGATTGTTAGGGCTCATATCTGCTACCCTTTCTCCTCTTCAGAAGAAACCCCCACATTCAGAGGGCCCAAGTTACTACCCTGTTGAGATACTTCCTCTTCCATTTGGTTTATACAAAATCAAATAACTTTAAATCTATTCTAATTGACCTGCAGTAATGAGTGGTACAAAGAGCTATACAAATTATCTTCTTGAAAATTCATAAAACAAACTTCACTTTTAAAAACTGGAGTCAATGAAAAAAGTTTTGTTAGAAGCATCTACTGCTTAGAAGGAAATGGAGCAGCACCAAATGGATCTAACTCTCCTTGTTGGGCCTGCGGGGACTGCTGCGGCGAGACGCTTTGTATCACAAGTTCTGTGAAGGGCACGGCCCCAAAGTCGTCCATTTTCAATCCCTCTACACTATGAAGAGACCCATGCAATGAGCTCTGCCTTGGTCTCCCAGGCAATGCTGTACCGTGGTCCCCACGGTTATCACTCAGGCCTTGGTGGGAGGGGTGCCGCACCAGGTCTGGAGGATGGAAGGGTTTGGCACCAAAAGGATCCAGTAGGTTCTCTTCAGGCTGAAGGGTACTCCCTCTGTCTTTACTGTCAGTCAGTGCCATACTGATGTTTTCCTTGGAGTCTGATATAGTTAGAAATTCATTGCTACTCTGAGAATCTCGCCGACCTACTTTCTTGTGCCTGCGGGCCCTCTCTGGCGTCCGGTAGGTGGGCTTGGAAGTCTTCTTGGTGTTAGTGGGGGTACCATGATGTCGCTTGCCGTTACTTTTCGACACCTCCTGCTTTATGCGCCTCTGGCGGGAGGAGAGTTTCTGCAGGCTTCGCTGTTTCACTTTTTGCTGCTGCTGACATCCAGCTATCTCCTCAAAAGGCACAAGCCCAAAAAGATCCTCTTTGCTTTCACTTTCATGTGTGGATGTGGGCAAGGGTTGAAAGGGAGTACAGCCAAATATGTCTACACTCCTGGGGCACAAGGGAAGAGTCTGTGCCTGAGACCTGGCCGCGGGGCAATCCTGCACTGTCACCTTCTTGCTGAAGGGCGCCTTTGTGAATACATCAAAGTCATCCTGCTCAGGTGCCACACTCTGAAAAACAGTCTGTGCGGACAAGTTTTGTTCATTTGTTTCTTTGTGCTGTGGCTGCCGAGCATGAAGCGCAAAGAAAGGGACTGAGCCGAACACATCAAACTCCTGCCTGGGGCTGACTCTTCCTCCAGCAGGAGGGAGCGGCACCCCAGGAGGTCTGGCCTGGCCACTAGCAGCTCGGCCTCTGGAGCTACTCAGAGGGCTCCCATCAGCATAGCGTGCTTTGGTATGGTCACAATCTGAATCAGAGCTATGTTTCTCTTCTTCATCATCTTCAGAATCCATGAGAAGAGGCCTGTGACCCAAATTCTCTGGTTCAGTGTCATCATCATTGAAATCCCCTTGCTCTCCTTGAAGAACATCCTCATCTTCATGCTCTTCATCTTCACTGCTCTTGGGAGATGGGGGATCTGACTCAAAATCACTTTCAGATTCCTCGCTCCTCTTCTGCATATGCCCCCTTGCCGAAGAGACATCTTCAGTCTTTCTTCCATTCTGGTCACCTTGAGATACCTGGTTTGTTTTTAGATCTCTGATGGAGTTCCCTATGCTATTTTCTTGACTGCTAGATGAATGTTCAACCTTCTTTTCAGGAGAACCTGCAGGTCCAAAGAAAAATTAATAAAGCATTTCAAATGCATAAAAAATGTTCACATTAAGCACCAACAGTATAAAATTTGATATGGAACAAACGTTTGAAAATTTTTCATGCCAGTCACTTTTAGGGAACAGGAAGAAATTCCTTAGTTACTATGTTTTTGTTATTAGACTTACATTGATTCTACAGCACTTAAGTCATGAGATTTTTAACATACAAATTATGCTCAAAGTCTACTAAATATGTATCAACATTTTATGGAGTAATTGGTATTTGTAGTTGTATTCTACAACAATTTTATATTAAATAGGAGTATGTACATATACAAATATGTATTTCAATGTGTTGTCCCTTGTGCACAAAGAAGGTATAACTAACTGATCCAACACTGAGAGGACAGAATCTTTTTCTCCTTTGTACTGGAGGACTGGCCCTATAAAATTGGTTCTTTTGTCTTACAAGCAAAAGCAAATATTTCTTGACAATTAATTGGCTAGGGCCAAGTGTCACAAAATACAACAGATCTCAGACTACACAATGATCCAACCTGACCTTGGCCTCATTAGTAGGGTGCTTAGCAACTGCTCTTACTAGTCATGAACATACACATATATTCTCTCTACATATATGTACACATGCATACAGACGTATAAAAGGGCTCTCAGACACACATTATACTAAGCCTTAAATTTGAAAAAAGTATGTATGTTTCAGCTGGACATTTATTAAATACAGTAAAAGCTCAGTTCTTTGCCTAATTAGATTATCATTTTTTTCTTGTTAAAAACTTGCTAAATTATTTGAAGTCCTGCTTAGTGTCTTGAAAATAATCCAAAATAATCCAAAATAATGTGCTACATATGTGTTAAGTCATCAATAGCTACAATTTAAATGCTGGTGCAGGGATACAAAATATAAACACTAGTTCTTAAATTACTGGTCATCAACAATACATGTGGGAAACACAATGACATTATTTTGCACCAGCCCCGCTACCACTACTACTACTACTGCTGCTGCTGCTGCTGCTACTACTACTACACTGTGCTAAGTGATTCACAAAATTATTATTTCATTTGATCCTCACAACCACCCAGAGAGGCAGGTGCTATTAGTATCCTCATTTTACAGATGAGGAAACTGAGACAAACAAGAGTTAAATTACTTGCCCAGGGTCATACAGTTAGGAGGTGTATGAGATCATATTTCAAAACTTAGGTTTTCCTGCCTCCAGGTTCAGTGCTCTTAACTACTGGGCCAATCAGCTGTCCCAATTATATTGCTGATTTTTATTAGTAGTAATCAAGTGACTACAACAATGTTTGGCCTGGAGTACCCTAGCTAATTATCAAATATACAGTGGAAAAATTTTAAAAGGATGAAATAAATATTTGTATTTATTAAATCACAGATTTTCCAAGTCTACAAGCACTACAGGTGTACAAAATCACCCACAGGTATAATAATTTATAGCACGTATAAAGCTGTCATTTTAAAGTTATTTACACTGAAGGTATTTCCTTTTTAGAATGTCACTTCATTCTTTTACACACACACCACAGCCAATGCTACCTTGGAAGCCACGAACACTCACTGTTTTTGAATAACTAGCTCCTCTCCTTATCAAATGCTGCTCTGGTTCCCAAGACAATTCTTTCCGACACCTCTCACTGCTGAGGCTAAGCTGCTGTCTTTGCAACATGCACAAAGGCTTACTGGTTCTGCCTCTATGGCCAGGCAAAACAAGCTGAATCCCTCTTTCATGTGACAGCTCTTCAAAAACTCTAAGACAGTTACCATGTCCTCCCTGAGCCTTCTCCTCTCTAAGCTAAATACCTCTAGTTCCTTTGACCTATCTTCATGACATGATTTTAAGGCCCTTTGCTACCCACTGACGATTAGCAACTTGTCCATGTCTTTCCTAATATATGACGCCCTGACTGAAATGATCTTCTAGATGTGGTCTGATCAGGGCACAGCAGAGTGGGCCTGTCACCTGCTTGCTTGCTCAAGGTAAGAGTTCTCCTCAATGCAACTTAAAATCGCATGTGCTTCTTTTGGATATTTCACATTCTTGACTCATGTTGATCTCATTGTCCAAAAAACCTTGAAATCTTTTTCAGATGAGCTGCTGTCTATTCACACCTTCTCCATCTTTTCCTTGTTAAGCTGATTTTTTGAACCACAGAATAAGACATTACATTTATTCTGATATTTAATCTTAATAGATTCACCCTAATGTTTCTGGAGCCTGACTTGCCAGTTCACGTGTTAGCTTTCCCTTCCCAGCTGTGCACCATCAACATACACATGCCATCTATGCCCTTACCTGAATCATTAAGAGAAAAGGGATTGGTTCTGATATTTCACTCATTTAAGCCCAATCGGTAACTTTTTTGCTCCTCTCTTCATGCATTACCTCACTTAAGAGAGAAGGGGTAAGTCCCATGGTCACAAAGCTGCTAACTCAGGGGTTGAGATCTGACTCCAAGACGAGTCTTTCTGCTCTACTGTGCTGCTGAGCGTGCCAATACTCCCTGCCTTCAAGGAACCTAATCCTCCTTTCAGACTAGGGCTTCTTAAACTGGGATTCACAACCTCCAGTGGTATGTGGACAGGAAAAAAGCACTTGTTATTTAAATAGATTTGGCTCCGTTTGTAACCCAAGGTGTTCTGTTTTGATTTTAAATGCATTTAAAACACACTCTGAGAAGGGTTCCATAGGCATGACCAAGCTGACAAAAGCAGAGAACCTCATCTGAGGATCGTGCATTTCAAGTTAGAGGGAACCTCAGAAAGCACCTAGTCCACCCTCATCTTGCAGGTAAGGAAACTGAGGGCCGAAAAGGCTAAGTGAGGTCCCCAGAATGGTGCAGGTCACATCAGATGTCAGTCAGTCAACAAGGCCTGTGCTAATTTGAGCCCAGGTCCTTATGACTCCAAAGGCACTGACCTTTCAACTCTTCCACACTGTTCAAAATACTCACAGTTGCATTTTTTATGAAAATAGGAAAACGGAAACAGAGGGAGCCCATCCACTGAAGGAAGGCTGAGAAACGGGTAGACGACTGTGATGGAATGGTACTGCACCCGAAACAGCAGCAAATGAAGAATTCAGGAAAATACATCAAGACTTACACAAACTGATGCAGACCAAAAGAAGGGAGTCTGTGCAACAGCTAAAATAACGATCACATAGGAAAGCTGTGCACACTAAAATAACACAATCAAAAACAATAAAACGCTGAACTCAGATTAACTGCAAAGGGCAAGGTGGTCCTAGAGAAAAGTTGATGAAACCCACTCTTCACTGGCTGAAGAGCTCCCAGTACACAATCGTGCAGATGCTGCCAGACGTTACTGCCTGGTCAACTGGATTCTGCTGAGCAACGAAAAAGGATTCAACAGAGGTCGGGGACATATACAGAAAATTATCATGATGTTAAAAAACAAAAGGCAAAAATAAAGTTTTAAATTTAAAAGATATACATAATCAGCCAACAAGCATTCATTGAGAGCTTGCTATGTGTGAGTTATTCTGCTAAGCACAGAAGATAAAAATAAAGGCAAAAATATGGTTTCTACCCTCAATTAGTTCACATGCAGATGGGGTAAATTATGAAAACAACTATGTACATATAAGACACATACAGGATATGTATGTGTACAGGATACACATACAGGATAAACAGGAGATGATGAGGAGGGAAGGGGGAAGAACTGGGAAAAGCCTCTAGAAGAAGCAGAAATTGAAGTTCAGTCTTCAAGGGAGCCAGGGAAGCCAGGAGGTAGAAAGGAGGAAGGAAAACATTCCAGGTTTAGAGTGTAAAGAACAGCAAGACAGTAATGGTTCTGTAGAGGATGAAGGGGGAAAGCAAGGTGTAAGGAAACTAGAAAGGCAGGTGAAGGTTTGAAGAACTTTATAAAAGTCAAAGGATTTGATATCTGATCTTGGAGAGAACAAGGTATCACTAGAGTTTACTGAGGAAGGGGGTGGTATGGTCAGAATGCTTTAAGATTGCTTTGGCAAATGAATGGAGCATAGACATAGCAACAAATTAAGGGAGGAAGGGAAGGAAATAAGCATTTTTTTTAAGTGCCTACTCTACATACCAGGTACTGTGCTAAGCACTTTATAAATATCTCATTTGATCTTTACAACAACCTATGGGGTAGGTCCTATTATTATCACCAATTTACAGCTGAGGAAACTGAGGCAAACAAAATGAGGTTAGGTGACTTGCCCAAAGCTTGAAAATGTCAGAAGCTGGATCTGACCTCAGGTCTTCCTGACTCCAGGCTGAATGTTTTCCATTCACTGCTCCAGCTAACTGCCTCAGTGAAAGAGCGATCAATTAGAAGGCTACAATTATACTGCAAGTATGAAATGATGAAGGCCTACAACAGGATGGTAGTTATATAAGTAGAGAAAAGAGGATGTATATGAGATGTTGTGAAAGTAGATATGACAAGACATGGCAAAAGACTGGCTAAGTGAAAAGTGAGGAGTCAAGGATGATACTAAGAGTTCAAGCAAGGCTGACCGGGAGAATGGGGGTGCCCTTAGCACTAACAGTGAAATTCATAAAAGGAGAAGCCAATAAGCTGTACAGAAGGCAATATATTTTGTTTTAGACTCAATAGAGTTTGAGATGTCCAATGGGCAGCTGGTGATACAAGTCTAGGGGTCAGGCCTAGATAAACAGATGAGGATGACCTATGCATACATGAAAAATTGAACCTATGAGAATGATATCACAAAGTACAGAGCAGTAGTGGTTCAGGGGGTCCCAAGACCCTTTCAAGGGATACATGATGTCAAAACTATTTTCATAATTCCACTAAGGTAGTTTTAATTCCTAATAGGGTAAATATCAAGATATAGCCCACATAAGCAAAAGCTCTGTGGGGGTCATCAGATTTAAAAGTGTAAAAGAGTCTCTGAAGCCAAAGAGTTTGAAAGATGATAGCATAGAAAAAGAAGACCAAGCACATCATTGTGTTGACACAGTTAGAGATGTGGCCCAGAGCCAGCTAAGAAAACTGAAGGAATGGTCAGACAGGTAGGAAGAGAATCAAGAAAGAGCAGAATTATGAAAGTCTAGAGAGGAGAGAGTACCCAGGAGAAGGAGGTGATCAACAGCATTAAAAATTGCAGAAAGGTCAAGATTAAGGATAGAGAAATGGTTGGTCATTAAATTTGATAAGTAAGTAAAAGATCCCTGGCAACTTTTGAGATGTTTCAGCAATGAGGTCAGAAGCCAGACTGGGTTTAGAAAAGAACATACAGAAGTGAAGTGGGGGGATCAAGTCAAGGCAGATTTCTCAGAGAGGTGAGACATAAGAGGGGAGATATAGGCCATACCCAGTGGTGATAGTTCAATCACATGAGGGGTTTTTTCTAAGGATGAGGGAAAAGTGACCACATTTGTAGGCTGCAGAGAAGGAACCAGGAGATGGAGAGAGACTGAAGGTTAGTGAAAGTAGGGATAGTAGACGGCAATCTGCTGGAGAAGATGGGACGGAATGGGATTGAGGGTGCATGCTGGCAAGGGGAAAGGCCCCATCTTTATGTGACATAGGGGTAATGGAGGAGATGGGTGGAAGACATCTGAGTCATGTGACAGGAGGGGGAAAGGGAAAAATGGAACCTCTTGATGAATGCTTTCAATTTTTTCGTGAAGTAGGAGGCAACATTCCTAGCTGAAAGTTAGGAAAGGGAGTGCCACGGTAAGTTTTAGGAGAAACGAAAAGGCTTGGAAAAATCACTCTTGCAATATGACATAATTAACTGATTAAGAACACGTAAAAGGAGTAGCAGTGAAGACCCAGTTATGCTTATTAACAAATCCGTAGTTGACCCAGTCACTTGGGTTTCTTATTTTGTGGGTGGTGGGAGGAATCCAAGATTGAGGTTTTGGCAAGGCAAGATGGGCGATGAGATCAGGGGGTAAGAACTGGGGTATCAAGAACAGTGTAGCATTAAACTGGGTCACCAAGGGGTCAAGATGAGGAAATGAAAATGTACCCAGGACCGATGTGATGGCTGGGGAGAAAACTGAGGAGTGAAGGGACTACACAGCCACGGTGGAGACCAAGAACGATTTCGGGGTTTTAAGACAGAGAGGAAGATGGAATGATAAAAGATGATCAGACTAAGACATCTCCAAAGGCCTTGTGATGGAAAATGCTAGATCGAAGCATACTATCTGCTATTTTTTTTCTTCTGTTTTGTTTTGTTTTCCCTTTCTTATGGTTCTTTCCATAATTCTTCCTTACAACATGACTAATGTGAAAATGTTTAATAGGAATGTATATGTATAGGCTATGTTAGACTGCACGCCATCTTGGGGAGGGAGGGGGTGAAAAACTTAAAACTCAAAAGCTTATGGAAGTGATTGTTGATAAATTAAAATAAATTTTAAAAAAAATGACCAGATAAAGGAATAATGTCAAGAAATGAGCGCCTCCTTCATCTGACATCATCCTCTGGCATTACCTTGCATCTGTTTTGTTTTGACTTATCTGTGCACTTTGGTTTTCTCCTAATACTGCTTTCTGGGAAAGAAACACAAGTTTATTATGGCACTCACTTGCATACTCTTAATAAGCGAATTAAACGAAGAAGGGAAATGGGGAACAAATACAGACTGAACCGGTCTCGTGACATCAGAAGTTTTCTTTCAACATAGATTTTATTGCAGTTTCCTTAAACTGAGTTCAGTGAGAATCAAATGTTACAGGAAGTAAGATTTCTCCAAAGCTTTCAGTTCAGTTTTCAGTGACAGACAGAACACCATTTAAAGCCGATAAACATTTTATCAGAAATCAATCCCTCCCTATACTTTTATAATTATGTTATTCTGCATATTTTTAAAAAGCATCAGTAGATGTAGAGGAGGTAGCATGGTAATACATGCTCAGAGTCAGGAAGACCAGCATTCAAGATCTACCTCTGAAATTTTATTGCATGACCTTGAGGAAATCATATAACTTCTCAGTGCCCCAAATTAAGATTAAACTGTAAAGTCAAAAGATCTACGCTGGTACAGGGAGATTCCTTGTCGGGAGTTCCCTTTAACAATGAAATACAGGCCCAGTCCAAAATAAAATGAGTAGAAAGAACAATGGACTGGGGGACAGGAACCCTATGTTACCACAAGATCCTGTGTTTTAGAGCTGGAAGGTCGGTCTACTAGAATCATCTAGTCCAAACCCCACATTCAGAAAATCAACTTCAAAAGTATAAAGGGGAAGTACACAACTGTTTCCACGAAGATTTGGGAATTCCAGTGGACTTAAGCTCAAAGTCAAAACTGTGACGTGGCAGCCAAAGAAGCCAGTGTATTACTAAGTTGCACTGAGTCACAGCATCAGAACACAACAGCAAGTTCCACTATGCCTTAAGTCAGTGGACAGATCAGATGACATATCTGGAGCATGGCTTTCAGCTCAGGGCACTTTTAAAGAACATTTACTAACTAGAGATTATTCATGTGATATAAGCAATAATGGTGAAGAACCTTGGCATCATTATACGATGCCTGAAGAGGGAAGATGTAGGGAGAATGTGGCATCTGTGATCAACCAAGATGGCTGCCTGAATGTGATGCTAATGACCCAGCTCCCACATACTTCTTGAGCAAAACTCTGAAGTCCAAATGATGATCAAAAGACCCAATGAGAACCTACAGTAAGTTATTTCTTCCCCTGCCAAAACTGCCCAAAAAGTCAGTGAGAAGGCCACAGGCAATAGGAAAGGGGAGCTCTTCAGCAAAGCGAGTCCAGCATGGCCAGAGAAGCACACATAAGGCCCTGTCTAGGCTGACATGTGTGCACAGCACCACTGAAAAAGTCCCAGGGTCGTCAGAACGCCTACATGGAAGCTTGGAAAGAAAAGGGTGGGACCAGTGACCAGCATGGTGCCAGTTCCCACGGTGCCTCAGACTCCGAACAGGACAGCCCAGACACGCCGAGGCAGGGAGGATATGAAGCCTAGCTGAAACAGGAGGCATTCCAGACTTCTCCAACACGCTCCAGAAACCTCTTCATTCCAGATCATTTCAGCCCTAAAATTCACACCCTGGAAGGACATCGGCACCTGACCTCATCAAAGAGGGTGCCCAGGCCAACCATCTCTTCATCTCTAGCAAACTTCAATCCATGCTTCTCCATCCATCACCTTCCTCCCTATCCCCCAGCATCCTTTAACGTCTCTTCCCCCATTAGAATGCAAGCTCCAGGGCAGGGACCATTTTTGTTTTGCTTGTATTTGTATTGCCACAGTACCTATCTTAGAATAAGTAGTTAATAAAGGCTTGCTGATTGACCTGAGATGCCTAATAATCTATTCTCAGACACCAGAAATGGCCCTAAAAATCCACCACTCTGAACGTAAAAGATCTAGGGAGGTCTAAGGTGGAGGTGGGGGCATAAACCAAGCGGAGCCAGCCATCTCACCCAAAATCCCAGCAGGGTGCAGAACTTGGCCTAGACACAAAGCTGAAAC